CCTGTCCACAGAGGCTTGACACAACTTCCTCTGAGGCTTCCCGCTGATTTCAATGGAGGAGCAGGAGGAAAGAATGGGTTTCTAGACACTTTTTGAGACACTTTTTCTACTCATCCATCTACCCATCCAGACCTTGAACTCAGTGTTGAACTGGGAGAGGGCTAGACATTTTACACAAAATTGGAGACATTTATACGGCTGCTCTAATCTCCAAACTGCACCTCAACAAATCCTCATCCTCCAGATAGATAATGAAAAGCACCTGCTCTGCTTGGTCTCTTCAGAGCTTGTTACCTGTGCGAGGAGTCCTGGCTGGATCTGGAGAGGCTGGGCCCCAGGAGCCTGAGTGACGATGGGAACGGCGTTCTCCATCCGAACCGAGTACCCAGCGTGCTTCGAAGGGGAGGCTTGTAACCCTGTTCCATGAGCACAGAAAACACAGAATTAGACATCAACAACTCCTTGAAGAAAGAGGGTCTGGTTTTCAGAGGCGTCTAAGGCACTAGCTGATGTTCACTGAAACTAGAGTGTTCAGGACCTCTGAAAAATCAGGCTCTCTGAGTCCCACATATACCATTCCAACCCAAGGACATCCATCAGATGCTGGAAAACATGACGCGTGCATAAGGGTGCATAAAATACATTTTTAAAGACATTAACAGATTAACTGAGTTCATGTTTTCACCTCAAACCTGATGGATACATCTCAATACAATGTGTACTGGGAGAAAAGGAAGTGGGAAAGGGAACAGTTTCTCTTCCTGGATGTTCTTAGTTCAACAACAGAAAATGTTTCTTGTTAGCTGAAAAACACTACCTTGTGGGAACACTCTCAAGATTGTGATGAAAGTGGGACAGGAATCCAGAACTGAGTATTCACTCAGCCTTGGCTTGGACAGGTAATTTGCTCTTGAACAGCTTCTCAAGAGTCATATTTAAAGGCTCTGATTAGAAAGTGTAAGCTAATGCACTCCAAACTTAGCTACACATTAGCCTAACTATGCTGCAGAAAGGCTACCACTCCAGCACTCAGTGCATGGCAGAGGTACACACATCTCCAGCTTTAGAGCTTTCTCAAGACATAAAGTGGAAGATGTCAGCTTACATATTCTAATAAGCCATTTCTGAATTGTTTTCATGTTAACTGTGTACAAAAAGTCTACCTAAAACTCTCCTAGCTCAAAGGGGCTTTGACAGTCCTGGAGAACATTTAATAAGTGCCTGGAGACTGCTGCACAGACAGACTTGGAGAAATGAAGAGGAGAAGTTGCACCAGCGGAACCATGGTCTATTTACAGATTTCTATTCAGAAGTCTATTTACTTCTTACAGATACCTGGCTAGATTTTGAAAACTGTTCCAGCATGGAAAGTCAAGAGAAGGACAAGTGACTAAGACAGATCATTACAGATCCGGTTGCCAGACAGGGCATCCACACACTGTCAGTTACAGGCTCACCCCAGCTAAGTTAGCCAACACTAGTGGACTAGCACTCCCAAATCCAAAGCAGGAACTAGTCCTCAGAGCTGCTCCTGATGCAGTTGCTCCTGTGCAGTTATTGGGATCACTTGCAGTACACGTGCCCAGTCCAGACAGGCACATCTGCTCTGTGAGTCCATACACAGAACCTGGGAGCCATACTCCTGGGTCCATGCCTGGGAGCATCCATACTTCCTGCTGGTATAAACAGGCAAAGCTGCTGATGCAACCGTTGTGATAAAAGGCCACAAGTGTTTGCCGGCAGGGTAAACTCATCCCCAACAGCACCATAATCCCTGCTGCACTAACTTTCTAATTCCCCCTTTAAACACCTGAGTCATGGAGAAGTGATTAACCACTTATTTACATACTGATGTGCGGCTGCTGGGGGATAGTGTTTTCATGTTTACCGTAATGAGGCAGAAGCTCCTCAAACAGCTCCATTCAGGAAAGAAAAAGGTAGGAATCACATTCCATGCCCAACGTTTTAGACCAGTCACGTCCAACCCACAGCGCGAAGGCAACATATTGCCCATGAGCTCCATCACTCGCAACACTTCATCCTGCTGAGGCCTAAGTAATCTGCAAGGACTTCTTTGCTGATATTTATTAAGCCGTTTTTGTAAGTTTGTTCCAAACCAGAGTTGCATGAAAGAGCAGTAGGGAGGAGGCCGGGGGCTGGCTGAGAGCTGGTGGAGCTCTCCCCTACCTTGGAAGCCTGGTGGGCAGACGATGAGAGCTTGCTGGAAGGGGTCGGGCCGGGCACAGATCTGCGCAGTTCCCGTCTGCAAGGGCATGCTCCGCTGGGCCACCGCAGCCATGGACGCCGCTGAGGGCTGGTAGAGTGCAGATTGGTAATTTAGTATGGAGACTTCGGGGTTGGCTAAGGAAATAGTGGCACTGGAGGAGGTGGGAGCCAGGTTGGTGGTCTAAAGGAATGATGGGAATTAAACAAAAACAAAACAACAACACAAAAATGAGGGAGATGGGTAGGTTGAAGAAGCAAAACCCCTCCCGCCAAAAAGTAAAATTGTATTAAAAAATAATAATAATAAAAATCAGCAAACCAAAAATAAAGGAGGAGCTGAACAGGACACTAAGGAGCAGAACAGGACACTAAGGAGCAGGGAAGCAAGAAGCAGGGAAGGAAGCACGTCCTCGGTGGAGAACCGCAGCGGTACCTAGGGCAGTGCCTCTGGACAACGCCACGGGCACTACCCAGACATGTGGGGCATTCTCCAAAGCAGAACCGTGTCCCCCGTTTGTCCCCACGCTGGCCTTCACTTGCAGAATATGGGAAACAGGTACAGGAAGTGCTACCATCCCCAGACCAAGTTGCTCTCCCCTTGTACACCCAGCTCTAGGAGAAACTCGCGTTGCAGCCTCTCCTCTACCTTCACCTATGGCAGTTCATGCCTCTCGGAGTACGTTTTGAATTTGAGGAGTCAGAAGGCATAGTATTAGGTAGTAGTAATACTTATAAAGCCCAAATTTCACTCAGCTTAATGTTAAAATCACTCAGAGCAGAAATTCTGGCACAAATTTCCAAAAAGCCACAAAATTCAGCCAAGCTTTCTGCAAAACATTTAGAAATCTTAGGGTGACTTCTATTTTACTTGGACTGAGTCTGCAACATAGCCCCTGAACAGCATTGCTGCTGCTCTGTAGAAACACTCCCTGGTGTACATGTCTGAGAGATCAGGATCCAGCACACCGGAGCCCTGCTGCCCCATCCCTGCCAGCGCTCCCCTCCAAACGCAGCACCGGCCGTGCTGGCCACACATCGGACGACGCTCATCCCACAGTGACTGCAGGAACAAGATGGAGAGGAGGCTGCAGGAGGCAGTGGGCTCCGCATCATTCGCTGCCCTCTTCACCAGCAGGCACGCGATGGGTACCGGGGCTGCGCTGGCACCTCAGGCTACGGTGGCAAACATCTCTGCCTCCCTACTCTCTCTGTGCAACGCACCAAGTAGCCACCTCACATACTGTTAGGCTCAGGAGTCCCAGCCAGAGAGAAAGGGCAAAGCCTTGAGATTTTGCACCAGCAGGGAGCATCCAGGAGCCAGACCAGATGGCAGGGGGAAGAGGATGGCGCAAGCTTTGGAGCTTGTTCAGATTGAAACTCTCTTCCCAGACGTGTTTCTACTGCTTCTTCGAGGAACGCTGGCGATACCCGTCCCGCTCGCAGCACACGCCCCGTGGGAGGGCTCGGGGAGTACTCACTGACCTCCCTGTCACCGCTGCTCTGCGAGCAGAGAATCGCAACAGCGCGAGCTGCGAGGAAACGAGAGCAACCGCGGCGCTAAGGCTGCCCCAGCTGGGGAGCGTGTACGTAGCTCCAACCTCTTCCTCAGTCAGCATCTCGGGAACAGTCACAAACAGACAGCAGAGCTCATAACCAGCGCTCTGGTGCATTACCCTGTGCACGACCCACCTCTGTACGTAACTGCTTAATGAATTGCTCCAAAGGACCTTACGCAACGCGTGCGCTGAAGGACTGAGTCACGAAGCCTGGATTTCTAAACGGCACTGGAACACTCTGTACATCTGTGCAGTTTTAGGGACTCTGCTTCCAAAATACCAGGCGCCAGCTCCGCAGTGCCACTGGCAACCTCTACAGCGAGTCTCCCGCAGCGTTCTCTAGGAAGGCTGAAAGGACGGGAGCTACTGCTTGCGCTTCAGCCTCCTGGAGCCCTCGCCATGGAGGCTCTCCTGTCCCTGCTGCAATACAGCGCCCCTGTTAATGGTTTGGCCTGCTGCTCATACAAGGTTTGTCAGCACAATAATCTCCCAAATTAAGACCTGTAAAACTATTACAGGAGTGCAAAGTACAACTACAAAGCCAGAGCCCACCAAGGCAGAGCACAATCTGTCCAGAGTGGACATGTGTGCACACCCCGGGTCGCTTGTGGCACCTGAAGTTAAACCAGCGACAGACACTGCCACTAAACTCATCTTTCCTGATGATTTGTTACAGTCCTCTGTCTGCTATAGAACAGTTTCAGTTATTTTTACCTTAGTACTAATTTGCAGAAGTGTTGTAAGATTGCAAATACCTCTGCCTGATCCACTGAGTGCAGTGCTGCTTGTTGCATTAAGGGACTAAGGAGCTTCTCCCCATAGCAACCTCCCAGGTAAGCAGGATTTATCACCTCCAGCGACAACATAAGCAATGAGGGCAGCACCTGACAATCACACACAGTGCCTCAAAATTACTGCTTGCCTGAGGAGAATGAAGAGGCGCTGACAGCAAGAAAGCACCATCATTTTTGCAGGCAGGTAAAATGGCCTTTGTGTTTCACACCTAGGACCCACTTACAGGACCATTTCAGGCACTGGATGCTTCCAATCATGCTCTCACCTGGTTGTGGACCGTGTTCAGCTGGTTGTTGAAGGTCATGGTCAAGTTGGTGGATGTGCTCGGGGCTACGTGGGTGATGAATGGCGTCTTGCTCTGGTTCACGGTGTCATACATATTCACCCGCCGCTTGCAAATCTCCATGTTCTGGAAGCAGGACTTGACACTGTGCAAGGAAAGGGGAAACTAACCCATCAACGGAGAAAGTTAACGGTTTATCACAGTGGCCCAACATGAGGCCTCAAAAGCAGGCTTGGCACATCCTAGGCTCATAAGCACTTTGCTATTTTATGTGCCACTAATACTAACCACTATTAGTTTCAGTTAACCCTACTTGGACTGAATAAGGCCAGGAGGGTGTCAAGGAGAAGACTGACTGATGTTTCCTCCTTTGGTGTACGTCTAATATGGTTTTAGAAGGCTTTTGCAAGTAAGGTCACTGTTTTTGACCTGAAAAATCCTGTTTGGCCCTTTTGAGAAGTAACTCACTGAGAAAGACCTTGATCATGCCAAGATGGTTAAAACATTGTTGGTGTTTGACTGCGCACGTCCACAGATGCTTATCTTAAAGCACGTGAGCCGTGAGCGTGAGCCGCCCCGCTGCGGGTAACAGGACAATTCACATGCCAAAAGGTCCTGCCAAATCAGAGCCATCACCTCCCTCTGGGAACCGGGTTCTGAAGTTATCTCAGACTGAGAATCAGCTCTTGGGAACAAAAGAATACAGCCTCTCCCTCTACACAAAATTGCCTTTAAATATTATTGATGTGGCAATGGTGATTTGGGGAAGTATCGTATTTTGTATTCTCAGTAAAGCAAATGCGGAACCGCTATCAGACTTAAGGTGTCTGCTAGGTGGAACTGTCAGTATTAAAGCAGTTTAGTGGCTTAAGAGATAATACCATAGTGACCTTGTGCAAAACCACATTTTTTTATGAAATCTCTGCTCTCCAAGCTCTGAAAACTTGTACAGATATTACAACAATTTTTCCACAATTTACAACTTGGTTGTGAATGACAACTCAGTATAAATTGATTTATTTTGCTTCAGCCTTTCAAACCAAGAAAAGAAAAGTAAAAATCTGGGGTACAGTTGTATACAGAATTTCCTTTGAAATGATGCAAGCTGCTAGAGGTAGGACAAATAAAGAAATCCTCATGTCGCATGACTTTTGAGAAAAAATGCCCTTTTGTTTTGTTAGTGCAGTAATCAACCTTATTTTGATTCTACGAAACAACATATAATTCATGTTAATAAAATACTGTGTTCTCACTGTAAAAATAATGATAAGAAAAGGTACAGAGCAAAACAGGATCAAAGGCCCGAGGAGTACAAAACAGTTGAAGATCCATGCAGTCGAATACGTGCAAAGGAGAGTTAGACTCGCTTTGCTGTTTGACAGGAACCATGCAGAACAACTCCTCATGGGCTGCTTGAACTTACAGCCTCTCTGAAGCACAACCACAGCAGAAACTGCTTCCAGAAGCTCCATCTTCCATACATTTCCCCTTCCTCTGCTGCCTGATTTGCTTTTAAGAGAGATTACAACTCCCAGCATCTCTTGAGGCTTTGAAGTTTTCTACACTGAAAACCACAGGCAATCACGGACTAAATTTCTATCAATCCACCACACAGGCTGCAGCTTATTGCTATCCACCTCCAACGTGGAGCAGCTTCTTGGGGTTACGCACGCACCTGGCACAGCACTTAGCATTCAGGGACCTGGTGCTGAGCTTTCTTTTCTAATTTGGGCAAAATCCTTGCCTCTTGCAGTGGCATTTTCCATCTTTCTGGGGCTTCGCCTGAGCAGCAACAAGTGATAGCTCCAGAAGTGAAGACCTGCTCCAGTCCGCTTCATTAGTGGAAATATTCCTGACAGCAATGGATTATGCCACAAATCTCTCAAATCTCACACCATCAACTGCTGCACATTAAGAGGGGCTGTCACAAATTAAAAGCCTTTTGTATATAGTGCTAATACTGTTAGCAAACACTGTCATTTTTTATTTATGAACGGTTTCATATGAAACTTACTTTTTCTCCATTTAGCACAGCAATCCATCTCCCTTCTCATCTGCATTACTTTTATCGCTCAGTGTCTATTTATAGGTAACAACACTCAAAAATGTCCCTGCAGGGTAAGGTTGGATCTGAACAGATCAAGCACCCACTACCACCTAGTGAGCACCTGCTCTTATCCGGTGATAGAGCTTTCCCTTTCACAGAGGGAAAACTACCTCAACAGGACCCGACATACCGCAGGTAGCAGCGCCGACACGGGCAGGAGAGCTGATGCACCAAAACCTGCTGCCGAAGCCGAAAACTGAACTTGTTTCCCTGCTGTTTTCTCCTGCAAAGTGGGCTGCCGTGGAGAAAACGCTTCCTTTAAAAGGCAAGCAGCCCCAAATTGACCCCTGCAAGATGGAAAGGCTCAGGGAGGCAGGGTCGGCTCCCCTAGCAGCTAGGGTTGATTACTGCACCAGCAATCAGGACTATATTACTTTGAGATATACTGATACACTCAGCACTAATTGCATAATTTCCTCTGCATTTTAATGCAAACATATGTAATTATTGAATATTTACATAATGAATGTAGCACATTCTGCAGTGTTTTAAATGCCAAGCACCTACAATACAATTCTTGCTGCCTTGAAGCTGGCAATCATCGCTTCTTTTTTAAAGCAGAGAAAGATTAAAAGATTAAAATTTAGGGCTTAAACTTTTTAACAGTGCCCCTCAGATACATCTCCTAGGTCTCAAGTACAACCCTCCTCCCCTTCACCCCCTGATCCAAGACCCACGGGACAGGAAGGCCACATACTGTGTGCTGTGAGGGAAATCAAGCAAGTGTGTCATGGTGACAAAAGGATGGTTCAGAGTTTCGATGGGCGTTATTCTCTTATCGGCATCTATTGTCAACATCTTCTTTAACAGATCTATGAACTCCCGCCGGTCTGCCTTTTCCACCAACATATCGCTTCCTTCCAAATCCGTTGTCATATTCACCTAGAGGAGAGAGGACAAGGATGACAGCTAAAAGGGAAAAGCAGTTGGGCCGGTCTCTGGCAATCCGCGCGTACTCCTGGCTAGCTCACATGTCCTGCACGCTCCCGTATCGGGAAGGGAAGTTGCTGGAGTCACAGGGAGGATGCCGAGGCTGCCAGTCACCCTGTCCCCTGGCTTGTGCATGTCACATCTCCAGACAGACTGGAGCTTGTTTGGGTCAATGGCTAATGAAACACTCAGTCACCCTCCAGTGAGGATGAGCAGCTTCCATGTGGTTGCAGGCAAGCTCTGGCACTTGGTATATTTACCATATAAAGGCCTGTGCAACTGAATACTTAATTATGTGTCCCGCAAGCCAAAAAAAAATGTATAAACATAAATAAAAATTTTCAGTAAGATTATAGGAAACATCTCTATTTATGTATCAGCTGCCAGGAGGAAAAAACCCTCACATTATTTCATCCACATGTTAAAATCTCTCCTGAGCTCAGCCCTCCCCTTCTGCATGCCTGCTAACGAATGCTACAGTATCTGGACTTCCCTGGCAGTTGCAGGCGTTTCATAGCCGTGAGGAATTCACACCAGGAGATGGTACACTCCTAAATAGCCACATTTCACAGACACCATGCTCTTTTAACAGGGTGTATAATTTCAATATTATCATTTTATCAGTGGAGATACTAAAGCGGAGAGAAGTTAAGCACTAGGATAGGATACACTGGGAAACCGTGTAGTCCCCCTTTGCTGGTGTTGTCCCAAAGCATACGAAACACTCTTGGTTACTCACCAGGGCTCTTACCTGTGCCATATCATCCAAACAGTTGAAAATATACTTCCTCGCTTCCTTCGACTTGATCCCCGTCTCTGCCTCATGGTCATCTGGCGTCTGCTCGGAACAGGAAAGAGGCACTGAGCTGAACTGCCCTGTAACCAGCTACGGGTTATGGGCCAGCTCCAGCCCGTGAGCCACCCTCTTGCCCAAACAGGCAGTCTAAGTGTCATCTCCACCACTTTTATAGGACAGCTTTTGTGCCACTGGGTGCCCCAAAGTGATTTAACTCTTCTTTTTGACTTCAGAGCATCCTCCCAGCTACAGTGAGTGTCCACCAAGTTTGAGACGCGGCACCTCGTCCTTGCAGCCGGAAGCCCCCTGGCCTCTCTCCACGGGGACGTGCTGCCGAACGCAGCCCCACACGCTGCTACAAGGGACTCGAGGCGCATTTGCATTACTAGCTCTTCCCACTGTTGGGAGTAAAATGCCTGTTTATTTTGATTTTACGATGTGGTAGATACCAGAGCAAATTCTGCCCAAGGCAGGTTTCATTTAAATTACCCATCACTTCACTGATTACTTAGGGGAGACTTTCAGGATATCTCTGGACTTACATCTCCCACAGGGCAGCATCACTGCGCTGATGGGTTGCAGACTTCTGTGGCAAGTTTAGGGTTGCAGACTTGTTATAGGAGTTTTACCTCAGGATCTACCCACTCCATGGCCTGCTCTGCATTGCAAGCAGCAGCATCCAAGCTCTGAGGCAAAGTGAGTGTCTCCCGCCACCTCCAACCAACCATTGCAAGGTAAAATGAACAAGGCAACGTCTTCCTACCTTCAGCCTCCACAAGGGATATGGTGAGTCTGTATCCCTGTTGAAAAACCTTGTAGTCTTCGTCCCTGCACTCAACAAATACTCTGCTGGTAAGCCCTGCGTCTGGGAAATATAGCGGATCTGTAAGAGAAGGGGGAGAAGTCACTGCTCATCCTGGGAAGATCTCTGGGCATCTTCCTTGAAGGAGGGCAAGCAGGCATTTAAGGCAACAGAAAGTGCATTGCATGTTCAGATCACAAAACAAACAAACAGAAAAACAACCAAACAAAAAAAACCCAAAGCACTAAAAGGAAGGACAGGAAAAAAGAATTCCCCAATGACATTCCTTCATTTACATCTACAGAAACTTACCCTTAGCATATTCTCCCACAAAGTCTATGACTGAAAGGAGGAAAGCCCCTAGATTTTGGAGGTCAAATGGGAAGACCAACCTAGAGACTGTAACGTATTTCTCACTTGCTTGCATCTTTTTGTGTCTCACACTCTCCTCCAGGAGGTAATTTCAATAATTTGATATTATTTGTGCCTAACTTCTGTTCTTTTTCTTTCCCAGCTGAGAGCACAGGCTCTCCTAGGGGCAGTTTGAAGTTCAAAACAGAAAACTGTGAAGTGGGTGTCTTTGAACTTAGTCGAAATATATATTCAAACAAATCGGTATCCTCACAGCGTGTGAAGTACCTCATCTCCATTGCTTATACGACTTCATTTGTCGTGGAGCTACTTCCATGGATTTGACCTGGCCATGCAGTTAACTAGCATGAAGATGCCACACAATTGTTTACAAGACCTCGGACTTAAATTAACTTATTCTAAGCAGAAAAGGTATGTGATTACATAATTAAAGGCTGACATGACACACGCCTGGGGTGGCACATGGAAACTTGACAGTGGCATTGCTCTGTAAAACTTAATATTCCTTTTCTGCAGGAAGTTCTACAGAAGAATGCAAAGCATCTTTGAAAGAAAAGACAGAGAAGGGTATAAAAAAAAAAAAAGCTGAAAAAGCCTGTGGTTTCAAAGACTTCGAAACACAACCCTGGCTCACTCCGAGTGCCTTGCTCGGCTCTGCAGCTGCCCAGGCCTAGGTCCCTCCTCCTGCCCCACATCAGGGTTGCAAAGTGACCCTGACTGTAGTGAAGGGCCGGGTTCAACCCCCGTCTGCCTCCCTGCTCCCCAGGAGCCCTCACTGTACTTCAGCAGAGGAAACTTTGCACCGTGCAGTCTAGCTGCCTAGTACCTACGCTGATTTCTTTTTCAGCTGTGTGCTTTATGATTTTTTTTTTGGAGGGAGGAGAAAAGAAATCTACTCTTCATGCTTGGTATGTGATTTTCAAAGGCATGCAAGTTTTTCAGCTATGTCTGATTTCCTTTGGAATTGCTAATGGCACTGCTCCTTACTGCAAGTTATTTCCCTGCCAAATTTCACTTTTTAAGTAGTATTTTTCAGTCAGAGCTTTAAAAAGAAGAGCCAAAACAATATTTTCGTATGTGAGAAACTTATTTATTTATTACTGTGCTCTTTTTTAAATTTTCTAATATAAAAAATATCCCTTTCAGGATACATTTGCAGATAGCTAAGGAGGCTTGTAAAGATATTATTAGACTGGAAACCGTTCTGCAGTCTTGACTCTAGAAGCCGCTGTATGATCTGTTTTAGAACTACAAGTGGGGCATAAAAGTCTATAGGGAGAGAACCATGACAGCTTATATTAACTAGAACACTACACCACTGTGAACATTTGTTTTCTTGTCATTGCTTTTAATATACACCCTCATAAAAGGGACTATGAAATGCAGCAGAGTTCACGCAATCTAACAAATAAACCTTTATTTAATACTTGCTGTTACAGTGGAGAAAGGATGTCTGCTCTGTGCAGTGATTAGAGATGCATACAGAGCTCTCTAGTCAACAGGAACATTTACTCTTGATGGAGGGCTCACTTAGGCGGTCAGTTCCTAAAAGTCATCATACTAAACAACTTATTGGTTACCTAGAATACGACAGGTGGATAACAAAAGAGTTGACATAAGAGGATAGAAATCATATGCAAATACATCCCGTTAGCAAAAGATAAGGTGTTAACATCTGTTCACTCTGACACAAGAAATAAAATCTGTGCTCTTACCAATATCTAGGGTAACATCTGTACCAACCTGATCATACTCTGAAGCTCCTGGGTATAAAGGCCAGCCCAAGAAGAGTTCTGCAATGACGCATCCCAACGACCACATATCGATTGCTTCACAGAAGGGTAAACCGAGGATGATTTCAGGGGCTCTGCAAAGGAAGAGGTCAGAGCGCGTCAGCATCAGCAACCAGAACGGCCCTGCTCGGCCTGGGCCTCGCATAGAGCTACAGCCAAGAAGAACAAAAGTTATTGCTCCTGCAGAGCCTGGGGCTCCGCTGGCTGCCAGCAAGGTGTCTGTTAACCAAGTGTTAGTCAATCAGTCCTTATCTTTGTAGGAGACTCCTCAAGCACCCTTTAGTCAAAGGGCAGTCCTGCCAGGCCCACACTGCACAGCTCTGCACAGGCCAGAGAGCTTCTGCTTTCTTCATTTGACAGATGGAAAACTGAGGCACGAAAAAGCAAAAGCACAAAAAAGGCATGCCACACATTCAACATCACCCAACAAGCACGTCCCAGGGGGAGATTTGCCCCACTTGTTTTAGGGCAGTTTGAATCTTTCTCCGTTGCTGCTGAAGAGGCCTAGAAGACTAAGTTTGGCAAGCTGACCACACTGCCATGGCCGAGATGAGATGAGATAAATCCTGCCCTTAGTGCCCCAAATACTCTGTGCTTCAAAAGTAACTTTATCTAGAAGAACTGGGAGTTGCATTTTACATACACTGAACACCCACTATTACAACCGAGCACTACATGTTCCTTCCTTTTCTCACACCAACCCAGACTTCCATGTGCCGTTAAGAACTATAATCCCCATTTTACAAAGGGAACCCTGAGGCTTCTCTCCTGCTGTTATTACAGGTCTTGCAAAACTTTCTTCTAAAGCTGCACCTTCTGCAGTCAGAAAGAAAGAAAAACTTACTTTCTCCAAACCTCTAAGTATAAAAATGAGGGGGAAAAAAAACACCCAGAAGAAAAATGAAAGAAAGAAAACCGAATTCCTTTAAAACCTGCACCATTTTAAAAAGAGCCTTATGACTTCTGGGATTCTGATGCATATTTTGGAAATGCCTGGGGTTGACTATTGAGCAAAGCAAGTGCCGCTGTCCAGAGTCAGAAATAGGACTCGTGGCTCCCAATTTTCCATCTGCCATCAGGATAAGATCTGACACAAGTGAGATCATCCTAAGGATTACCAATCACAGCGGAAAATGTTACGTTTTAATCACACCATTACACAGTCATGTGAAGACAAGTCTTTAGCCAAGCAAAACACACATTTTTTTTCAAAAAAAAAAGAAAAAAAAAAAACAAGTAAATGCCCTGTACCAAGAATCCATATGCATCTTAAGCTCATAAATTTCCCCAAATTTGGATGGACTTGTAATGATAAAAGCCAAAAACGACCTGTTCTCAAGCTAGTAACCCAGAATGTAAAAATTAGGGGAAATGAAGGGATTTTTAACCACAGGGTGCTTTGTGCCATTCCCACACAAAACATTCCAGAAACTTAAATTAAAAAGCAGCCTCCTTGCGCTCTTCTAGTTTCATCTGGGATTGCCACATTCCTACCCCACACTTCCTTTGCTCATCATCACACACTCCTCATTCCAAAACCAATCTCTGCTTAGAAACAAGGGGTTAATTTCCCTCCTCTCCTTCCCATTCTGTCATCCCTGTACACCAGTCGACACCTAGAAAAAGAAAAAACACGCAGAGAGAAAAAGACAGCGACGGTGACCTGAATCTCATTACTATGTAAATCCGGCAGGCGAAGCCATCTGCCTCCCCGTGCCAGCCCTCCACGCGGCGAGCGACATGGCCCTGGTCACTAATGAGCGCTCAGCCCTGCGCCCGAGATCCCTCCCCCTGGCTCGGGCGGCGGGAGCGGGAGGGTGGACTATCCGCGGGATATTCCTGACGCGACGCTGTCTGCAAACCTCCCTCTTCATCAAACCCGCCGCTCCTGCCGTCATGTGCAGCAGGGATCTCCTCCCTCCGCTCCCCGCGCTGGTGCTGGCAACACCTCCAGACCCACGCAGGAAGGGCTGACTGAGAATCTGAGACTTCAGCATTTCTCGTCGTTTAATCATGAATCTTAGGCTGTCCAGTGGGGTTTCCCATCATAAGGTCCCATCTTCTAGAGCACAGCAATTACGAAAGAACTTCTATTTCGTATAAAAAGAAGTTTTGCATCTCCACCGCTGCAAAGGAAAGCATATAACCAACGTCCACACCGCTCAGGCACCTCTGAGACAAAGAAGGGAATGGCTTTCATGATTTTAAATTGGACCTATTGTTGCGGGAAGGGGGAAGAGAAGCATTTTTATTTTGCTCTTCAGAAAGTCGGTATCTCCCATGCTATATGTCAAGCTTAGACATTAGCTGCATCTTTGTTCAGCCAGCCCCAACATGAGGCAGCAGAAACCCTGCCTCCCCTCGCACCTCTCTGCTAAAGGGTAACACCACGTCCTGCACAGGAGGGTGCTACTAGTTCAGCATCGAAACAACTTGTCCACTGACAAAATGACTTCCTAACCTCCTTCAGGTAGAAGTTGTTTTATATGGTAATCTGTGGATGCATATTGGGATATCTTCTTCACAGGTACCTTTATTACACAGAATACTTTTCTTAATGCATATACACGTTAACTTTTAAGGACATGGTGAGATCATGACTTCAATCATATATTGTGGCATGGAGTTCCACAGACATCCTGTTGCTCTAAATAACCATGTAAGTCCGTTGTTTAAAGCCTAATTTCCCCTTACTAAATTTAAATCCAGCACCCTTCAAATCACATTCCCATGGACAGGGCAAAGGGTGAAAACTGAGGAACTAGAATCACCTTTCCTTTTAGGACAAGTTATTTTTATCTCTGTGCCATGCTCTCTCCTGGTGGTGAGCTTTCTGAATGAAACAGCTTCTGCCTTCTCCGCTTTCTGTCCCGTGGATGTTTCAAACCATTTTCTCTGCCTGATTCTAATGCTCCTATTCTTGACTCGACTATGTAGAGACACGTTGAACAGAACGAGAAACAGTGTTATGTATGAAGATATTCCCCAGACTTATTTTATAGTATTTGCAGAATGATTTTGCATTCCAGTCGTCTCCGAACCTAATATTTTGTTTGCTTTCAGAGTGATACGAGGCATTCCAGCAGATGTTTTATCTGGGAGATCCTCTGAGACGCACACTTCTTTCTCCAGAGAAGCTGTAGTTAATTTAGAACATAGAATTACATAGAAATAGTTGGTTTTGCCTCTTCCAATGTTTACTGCTTTTCACTACTGCACTGACCTGGCATAATGTTGTCTATAATCTAAATTAAGTAAGTCCCTTACATATTCCTTGTTACTTTCTATAGCCTAACCTAAACAATTCTGTGGTGTCTGCACACTTAAGCACTTCACTGCTGGTCTGCCACTTTTTAACGAATAATTAATACATTAAGCATCTCTGGTCCTTGTGGATACAGGCCATTCCACAACTGACCCCTTTCATTCCTAAAAGCACTCAGATTTAGCTCAGCCACTTTACAAATGGTATAATTTTCTTTCTCCAAAGGGAAAGAAAACATTTTCATGTCTTTGCCAGTTCTTATGTGGGATTTCTCTGTTCTGAAGCTGGCAAGGCTATATAACAGGGTAAATTACTCTATTAAACTGTGCACGTCAGCGTATTGTAATGATAAATAAATCCAAAGGACAACTCACATGGCAACAGGTAATTTCTCCTGGAATAGCACTGTGTGGTTTATGCTGCTTTCAGTAAGTATCTTCAGGGCTGCCCAGGGAGGAGCTTTATTCTGATAATATTACTTGTTTTACCACAGAGGCACCAAGCCTTCCGATTTGGGTGGTGATCGAGATGGTTTCAAGCCACGCAATAGCAGCTCACTACCAGACACCTCCGTGCATGCAGGAACATTTACATTGACCCTTCTTGGCCAGATTTTGACGGTGCCTCTGAAACGCTCTCTGAATTCCAGCTTCCAATATCAGACACATGGAGAGAAAACAGAAAACTTCAACCTCCCAACCTTGATCTCCCACAAGCTGTCTTAGATGTCTTTCAAAGAGAGGTAGAGCTGAGCTTGCAGCTCACACAGATCTCATCCCTGGGGACTGACGATTTCAAACCCACTCACCATTAAGCTGCAGGAGACCCAACGCCCCTGCCAAAAGGGCCCCAAAAGGGGGTCTCCAGGAGAGATGCAGCCAGCTCATCCCCACTTCCCACATCTCCTGCCTCTTCTCCGAGCTGAATCACCACCCTGGGCAGCCAGGGGTGACCCATGCCTTGGCTCAGCACTAGCTCCTTCTGCAAACTCCCCATTGCGCTGGATCCAAAGCCAAAGAGCTGCTGGGGCAGGCAAGGGAGCGCTTACGGTGGCAGCAGAGGGTCCTCAGGCCGTCAGCGCCCAACAGGCACAAGTGCCATCTCCTCATTTACGTGCACCTCACATCTGACCCCGTCCCGCCTTTAAGGCCTGCTGCTGGCGCAGTATTTACTTGACCAACCCTGCTCGGTGGCAGGGTAATTTCATTGTCTGCTGTTTCTGTCAGGAAAATTAATTACCAGTCTAGCTCCCTGGCTTTTTCACCCACACATCACAGGGCATTAAAAACAAACGCCAAGAAAGAAAAAAAAACAAAGAATCATTTCCGCAGACTTTTTTGGAGAACGCATCTCTTGCTGAATAACAAAATTCCCTTGCTAGCTGCCGCCTCCGAGGTAGCGCGCGGCCTTTGGTCGGCTCCTACACGTTAAGCATGACTGCCTCAGCATAGTTTCTCCTTGACACATATATGTCCCAGACAAAAATGTCATTCAAAGCTTGACCAGTACTGTATCATATGGCATATACTCAGCCCTGAGTTCACGGAAAAGAAGAGTGCATAGCACGCTTTTTTTTGTCCCTCTGTACATCTCAGATCCAGAGTCATTTCTCAGCGCACAGCTGGGAATGGCAACAGCTCCACATTTTGGAAGCAAAGTGCTCTTCCTGCACTACCTCCACCACCGTGCCACGCTTTCTGAACACAAGGACACCTAGAAGGGGTGCCGTTCTCCAAAACTGATGACTCCCATGAGCAAAACCTTCCTTTGCTCCAGGGTTGCACTGCTTTGGATTTCCCATGCTTAAAA